TGGAGCCAAGCAAACTAAAGCTGTGTACAATCTCAATCTCTTCACCATCCATCCTGATGCTGTCAATTGGTCCAGTGGTGAGAATCTTTGTCTTCTTGACATTGAGCCTCAATCCATATTGCAGGCTGCAGTCCTTGACACTTTGCAGCAGGCGCATACATATATATACACAACCCACACCTACAAACATACACATATACCTGGACACTGTACAAAAGGATGTTACATGGCATGTGACTACATTGTCAACAAGCAAGAAAGTCTTTCATCTTTATTACTATGGATTGTTAAACTAATGATTCCTCCAAAAATTTTTATTTCGTTAACATATCATTTAGGATTTATAATAAAAGCCTAAAATGCTATCTATAAGCAGAAAACACATTGCAAGAATAGTACAATTCTGACAGGAAGCCTATGTATACTTAAGAGCCAACTATAACCTGCAGGATACAGGATGAAAGCAAATCTGGGGGAGGAACCAGGCCCAATCTGATAAAATTTTTTTTAAAAGGAACACATAATTTCCTTAAATGACTTGTTGAACTGGAAAAAACCTACCTTATTAATCTACGAAGTTCCTGTTAACACACTGCCGCACACTTTTAAATTGACGACTGTGCTTAGGAAAAAAAATTTTTTTAAAAAAATTTTTATTTTTGTGCGCGTGTACCATCAAATCAGATCTGACTGGTACAGGAGGAGATTGTCCCTCCTTCCCTGGCAGAGCATCTGGTGGATTCGAACCGTGCACCTCTGGGATTGTAGTTGCAGCTTCTTGCCACTAGGCCACCAGAGCTCCCCTAGGAACACATTTTCCCCCCATCATTTGCAGCAACATGTTAAAAAAGTTGGACCATGTATGTTATACATAGACATTAAAGATAAAAAAAAAGAGTAATTTTGAGAAAAACATTGGATGTTTTATTAGGACCTTCCGAACTGGACTCTTATTGACAGTTATTCATTAAACTAATAGCAGGAAACAAACTTCTAAATAGTTATTAGGTAAATTTAAAGTCACATGATTTATTAACAAGCTTATAATTTTACTTCATGTGTGGTAACATTCAAAGGTCACAAGCATTTTGCAATTAAAACTGGCATCAATTAGCATGACATTTCAGCAAAAGATCACAATGTCAACTAGTCAACATGCATAAACCTTCTATAATCTTCTCAAGTCTAAAAAATTTGTAAGTTAAGTGATATTTTAAAATTGGATGCAGAACTACATCAATTTTATATCACTACTACAATCTAAACTCCCTACTTCTTACCAGGAAACACATTTTTCTCAACTACCTTAGAATATATTTATGCTTTCCTATTGTAAGAATGAGCTTTACCAAGATCTGGGCCCCATATTTGTTAAGAGAAAGGAACGTAGTTTAATTTTGAGAAAAATTATGAAAATTGAGAAGAAAATGGCAAAGCTGAACTCTTAAGACACTCATTCATTCATTCATACATTATCCCTAACAGGAAGAGACAGATTTCACTGTATTCAGGCAAGATTAATGACACTATTTATACTGGCCTTTGGAACACGGTAGAAACCAAAATGAACAGTATTTCAATAGATGAGCATCATGTAGCAAGCAAATTATTAGGAAGATAGTCACTAATACTACTGAAGAGAAAGGGCCTTAAAGCAAAATATGACCAGCTTATGTCAATTAAATAATTAAATATATTGGGTATTTTTTTTGTTTTGTTTTTAACAGGCGGGGGGAGACAAAATCTAGATTTTATCAGAAATGACTAGCTGGTTTCTTGGTTTTGGTAGTGCAACAGCACCATGACAGCAAGGGTAATCAGGTCAATCCCTTGCAAACTTACCTTGATTGGCCCAATGGAAACAGAAGGCCCCAGAAAAGAGAGAAGCATCTGGCTGTAGCAAATTGTTTTATTTTATCTTTCTGTGGAAAGAAACTAATTTTAAATAAGAACCACAGCATTTAAAGAATAAATATTGTTAAAGCTCATTATCTAGTTACAGAAGCTCGATGAAGAAAACAAGAGCTCCTTGCTGTTTAGAGATGAAAAGAAACAAGAGGCGTTAAAGAGTTGTTTCTCCATCATCGAGGGAATTTTAAAACTTATTCTAGAGTTATAGAATAAATGGTTCTTTCATTTGAAGAACACCTACAGGCAGAATCTTCTGGGTCTATGCCTTAAATAAAGATTTTTATATTTAAATAAGTGCTAAGTCCAAAAGAACAACGTATTTGACATTAAACCCTTCTAAACCATGAGAGAGAGAGAGCAAGGGCCTTTGATCCACTGCAACTGAACAATTAAGTTTACACTGTGGCATAAATGATTACAAAGAAAATAATTACTAAGTAGCAAAAAAGCATTACAAGTTAAACTGCTTTCCAAAATATTCTTTACCCTAGACTTCTCATGATTGATCAAGATACTCAAACAGAAACAACCCAGCCACCTAATAGACCTGCAGTAATACAAGGCTAAATACAGAAGCTGTAAAATCATTTAAATGGTAATCTATCTTTCTTAAATGAATCTATAAAATCCTTTCTGTCCAAGTTACTGAGTCAGCATTTAACTCTTCTGATTCAAATCACTCCCACAAAATGTTGACTTTCAATTTATACTAGAGATGGAAGGGATAGCTCAGAAGCAAGAATGAAGAAGCAACACATATTTAAATATAAAGGAAAATGAACTCCATGCTTTCCACTAAATTACAGAAACCAGTATTACAAAATAGAAATCTCACAGACCCACCTTCAACATCCACTCGAAAGAGATTATTGCAGAAAGAAAATTCATTCTCAGCCATTGACATAATTTCTAATCTAAAATCCTACACTTTTTCTTTTCTATAGTCCACAAACTTTTAATGCTTACATATCACACTCGCTTTAAGTAAACACATTAAGTTAAAAGCCCAAGTGTACCTTACTACTTTTTAATTAAAAAAATATTCTTAGCTTATTGAGATGAAAGGATGTTTTTCCTACAGAAGACTTTTCCAATACATACAAAATTTATTCATCGTTCAATATTTGCTATTTCTTAACACATCATTTTGGCATAGGCTTACTTTCAGAAAGCTACAAGTATTTTCCCAGGATTTAAAATATTGGCAATACTAGAACACAAAGATAAATAGATGATACAAAAAATTTAAGGGGAGGGGAAACTGGTTCAAAACCTACTTGTCCCATTGGTGGTCCTCCCATAGGGGGCATCATCTGAGGCATCATTCCATGAGGTACAGGTGGCATATTTGCTCTCTGACCCATAGGGTGCATTCCCATAGGAGCATAATGCATGCCAGGGTGTCCCATCTGAAAAACAGTGACAATGAGAAATTAACAACTGACAGTATTTTAAAAATAAACCTTTAAAACAACTATGAGGTATCATCTCACCCCAGTCAAAATAGCAAAATTTAACAGAACAGCAAGTAACAAATGCTGGCAAGGTTGTGGAGAAACTGGAACCCTTATTCACTGTTGGTGGGAGTGTAAAATGGTGCAACC